ATGAAAAAATTAATTCATCTATAAAATTATCAGAGAATCAATTATCATTGGCAACATTGTTTAAAAGTAATTCTATAATTATAGATAATTAGGTATATGCTTAATTGAGATGAATTAACCAGGATAAGGATTTATTATGAGAGAATAGGCCAAAAAGATTAATAATAACCTATATCCAGATCTATTGGCTTATTCAGATCAAGAATTAATTAAAACACCATAAAATTCTTATATGTTATTAGCAAAAAGTACGAAATTTATAATTTATGTAGGCTATGCTTTAAGCGAAGGAAAGAAATTCCTAGAGGCAAAAGAGTTATGCGAAAAGGTTTAGAGAGAAGAACCTTAAAATCTTCACACTTTGTATAGAAAAAGTAACTGTGTATTTTAAAAAAAGGCTATTCATTATATAATTTGACTCAATATTCAGAAGCAATTTAATGTATTGAGTTAGCCCTTAAATATAATCCATAGTATAGTATTGGTTATATGACTAAAGGTATTTATAGGTTATGATTTTAGGTGTTGCCTTAGATGCTCTTAATAAATACAATGAGGCAATTGTTTGCTATGATAAAGCAATCCAAATAGATCCAAATTTTGCAAAGGCCTATTATAATAAAGGTTTGTAATTTATTGATTAAATTAGGTGCTGCCTTAAAGAGACTTAATAAATACAATGAGGCAATTGTTTGCTATGATAAAGCAATCCAAATAGATCCAAATTATGCTATTGCCTATTATAATAAAGGTTTGGAATTTCAAGATTTTATTAGGAAGTGCATTAAAGAGACTTAATAAATACAATGAGGCAATTGTTTGCTATGATAAAGCAATCCAAATAGATCCAAATTATGCACATGCCTATTATAATAAAGGTTTGGAATTTCAAGATTTTATTAGGAAGTGCATTATAGAACCTTAATAAATACAATGAGGCAATTGTTTGCTATGATAAAGCAATCCAAATGGATCCAAATTATGCAAAGGCCTATATGAATAAAGGTTTGTAATTTCTTGATTAAATTAGGTGCTGCCTTAGATGATCTTAAGAACCACAATGAGGCAATTGTTTGCTATGATAAAGCAATCCAAATAGATCTAAATTATGCGAATGCCTATATTAATAAGGGTTTGTAATTTATTGATAAAATT